GGGGAGAGGAGCGCCTTGTCCTGGCCCCAGTGCTGGGTTTCAAGGGACAGGATGCGACTGGGACAGGATGATCAAGGTCTTGTGTCAGGGTGCGAAAAGGCTGATGTCGCTTCCACCTGGACATTTGGCTGGACCTGGGAGACCTGGCACTTGGGAGACCTGGACCTGGGTTTCCCTGAGCTTTGGACAAATTCACCTAAGTGTATCTGGGAATTGCCGACATGGAACAGGTAGGCTGCTGTGAGCTCCTGTTTCCTTTTTCCTCGGGCTCCTAAGTAGGAGGCGCCCTGAAGAAGTGAGTCAGAGCCTCGGTATCTCACAGTTTATTCAAACGGTAATGGGGGAGGAAAAAGAAAGCAAGCAAAGAAACCAGGGACACTGTTAAAATCAGCCCACCCAATCCTTTCTTACCTTCATTCTTTCTTTTTTTTTTACTGTTACATGCAAAAATAATGAAAAAGCTTGGCCTTTCAGGCTAAGAAAGATCATAAAAAACTGTTTTCAGTACAAAAACTCTTTTTTCTTTTTCTTCCGGTACCGGGAATCGAACTCACGACCTTGCACTTGCCAGGCAGGCACTGTGCTGCTGAGCTAAATCCCCAGCCCCAAAAGAACTCTTATTAAGGGAAAATAATGCTTGATCCTCAAATGTTAAATAGAAACCACAATATATAAAATACCAATTTAGCAACTGGTTCCGTCAATTTTGAAAAAGTCATCTTTCTGCTACACATATAAGTTATTTGAATACTTGAAATTTTATGCTGAGGCTTACAAAATGGAAAATATTTTGGACCATAAAAGTTGTTTTCAGGGTAGGAAAGGAATTTTAAGAATATTTTCATAAGCATGAACATCTTTGCACCAAAAGGAGAGAAAATGGCATTTTAATATATTTATATATGTAAAATGTAATTTTATAATCATATTAACACCTTTCGTCCTTTGGTTTTAGTAGATTTTTACACCCTTCTATAAAGTGAGAATAGGGAAAATGCCAACTATCTGTATTAGTAAATAATAAATGTTACATATTTTCATAAATTTAATAAGAAAAAGAAAACTTAGTAGGGGTGCAAGGCAGGAGCTTATGGGGGCCTCAGACCTCAGCCTCTTCCGAGCACACACTCAAACCACATGCATGGGGAAAAGGCTGGGGAAGCCGCCAGAGCAAAAATCTGTTCTTAGTGTCCTGGTATCCTTCAGGCTCATCCACAAGTTTGCTTGAAACCTCAAATGGCTCCTGTACAGTTGTTATGTATTCCAAGGAAAATGGCCTTTTAGACTAAGAAAGATTGTAAAAAATAGTTTTCAGTACAAAAACTCTTATTAAGGAAAATAATATTTGATCCTCAAATGTTAAAAGATGTCTGAGGTGTACGTGTGGTGCACTGCGTCAGAGGTCTGAACTTAAGTGTGTTACCTGTGTTGAGTCCAGGTCTGTGGGGATGGGGGTCAGGGATCGGGGGTCGGGACTTTGGCCTTTGGAGAAGGGTCAGGCTGAGGGGAGCACACTTGACTGGACAGAGAAGTGGGGATCGCCTTGGAGGTGTGGGGACTGGGCCTGCTTTGGGAACATGGCTGCTGGGGGCTCATGGGGTTGGGCTGAGCAGGGGACCCCACCTGCTGCTGGAGGAGTCACTGCGGATAGGTCTGCAGACTGGCTCTCGCCTCTGCTCCCAAGGCCTGGGGGAGCTGGCCCATCTGTCCCATGTTGCATCTACTACATGTGATGCTGCATTCGCTGCTGCTGCATCATCTGCTGTGATCTCCACATGTCCCGGAACTGGGAAGACACGCTGCCGTGGCTCACGTTCATCGGCTGCCCCTGGGGCTCATCCTTCCCATGGGCGGCTGGAGTGGCTGCTGATGCTGCTGCTGGCCCGGGCCAGCCCTCTGCACGCCTGCCTGCATGGGATTCATGTCGTGCATGGCTGACCTGGAGTGGACCCTCTGCGTGGCTGGTGGCTGCAGCCCTGACTGTCCCTGGGCCATGCCAGGCTGTCCATTAGAGTTGGCATGAAGGATACTTAGCACCTGTTGCTGCTGCAGGGGAGAGCTGGGGGACCTGAGCGTCCGCAGGAGGTTTTGTAAGGCTTGTTGAGACACAGTGCCTGGTTTGAGTGGGCTCACACCACCTGGCCCAATCCTGGCTGTGGAGCCATGTTCAAGGGCTGCCCGTGCTGGGCCACTGACATCATGGCCGGCCTTGGCACCCTGTCATCGCTGGAGTTGCTGGGGCTGAGGCAGTCCTTCTTGGGCCCAGGGGAGCTGCTGCTGCATTACTGTGGGCCCCATCTCTGGCTCCAGATGCCTGCTGGGACCTCTAGACATGGCAGATGGGCTTATGTCCATTGGGGCCGTGGGAGTTCTGGGATATGGGAATTGTGTTGGTCTCCATAGGCCATCCGGCGCGGTGTATCCACTGCTGTCTGAATGTGCACTGCTATTTCTTCTGCGGCAGCTAGGTGCCCAGCCAAGGGTGGCTGAGGAGTCTGTGGAGGAGGTGGAAGGTCACCAGGGCTGTTCCGGAAGGGGTGAGCTAGGCCATCTTCTGAGTGGCTGCTGCACATTTGATGTAGTTGTCGTGGCAGGGGCTGGGGAGGGCAGGCCCTACTTTTGGCCCACCACACTGGCGGCTACACGCTGGCCATCCTGCGGTGCAGCACCTGGGCCTGCCGGGGCTGCAGCTGCTGCTGGCGGAGCTTCTGCCTGATGTTGAAGCAGAACGGCACAGGGCAGTAGTTCTCGTGGCAGCGCTTGGCATGGTAGCAGCAGAGGGCAATGAGCTGCCTGCACACAGGGCACCGGCCGGTGCTCTTCCGTTTGCAGCTCTTGGTATGATGTACAACCCGCTTCATCTTCTGGCAGGAGGGCAACGGGCAGTTGGCATCCCGGCACTGGCAGGCTAGGATCAAGTATTGGATGTTTCGCTGGATGCTCAAGCGGCGAGATTCTTCCGGGCTCTGGGTGGCTGCAGCATGCTGGTCATCCTCTAAGCCAAGACCCAGTTTCTCCATCGGGTGGTCGTGGTTTTTAGTGTAATAGCAGGAGATACACAAGTCATAATCCTGAGGAAAAACACAGGAAGTGAGATGAACTCTCAGGATGTAACTGTCGAAATCATTTGAGATACTGTGCTTGGGGTAGAAAAGCTCCTTTTGTTGTTAGTTAGGATCTTGTTATGTATTCCAGACTGTCCTTCAGCTTGCTCTGTAGCCCAGAGCTGGCTTTAAATTTGTGATTCCACCCTCACCTAACCAAGTGCAGGGATTAAAGGTGTGTGTTCCTAAGATGGCTTAGAAAAGCTCCTTTTTATACAACAATCTTCAGCTCTGCCACTCAACACAAGATCAGGCTATCCCACCCTGAGGGCAGGGGATGCAACACATGTAACATGTTTCTATATCATCTTCCAGGTGATGGGGACCCACAGGACCTGCCCCCTCCTTCCCAAGACCTGGTGCCTACCTCGCAGACGGTGCAGTGCCAGTGTGTGTCCACTCGGTCCTTGCACTCACAGCAGGTGCAGAGCATCTGGCAGGCGGACCTGCAGGGATGGTTTGAGTGAAGAGGGCTCATCTCGACCATCAGTCAGATCACTGAGGATGAGAGGGTCAAGGTCACCAGTGGAGGCAGGAAATTGGGTCACAAACACACCTGTGGAAGCGAGGCTCACAGACTCAGGACCACAGTGCCGTGAGGCAGATGGAGCTGATGGCACCTGGCCGGCCGGAGGGATGTGTGCACACAGGGCGCCTCACCACACCGCCCTCTCCTTTCCTGCTTCACCCATCTCGGCTCTCTCTGAGCTCAGTGTAATCCGCCTGACACTCACATCCTCTGGCCTCTTCCGCCCCAGGGAAGCAGTCCTTCCAAAGCAGAACGGCGAGGCTCAGGGCCAGGGCGTGCACACAGGACCTTTTGCCCCAAGTCTACATGAGATGGAACCCGTGCTTTCCCCTGAGTCTGATCACAAGGGACCAATCTGACAAAGCTAAAGGGAGGCATTCTGTAAAGGAACTGCTCTGGGCCAACCACCAGCATGCTCGCATGATTTAAGAAGAGGCTGGAGCTGTCACCAAGGAGACAGAGCAGCTCAGCACGCTTCTTCACCCCTCACTGGAATCTAAGGACCATCACCAGCAGTGATGCCTGCTGATGATGTAGCACAGTACAAAGATCCTGGGTTCAATTCCTTGTACCACAAAAACTGAAGAAAATAAGAAACCAAATGAAATCAAAATACTGTAGTGTGGTAATGCAGATCATGTCTTCTTTCTTAGAAGGTACTTGCTAAAATAGAGATTAAAAAAAGAAGCCAGGGCCAGGGATGTAGCTGAGTGGCACAGCTCCTGCCTGACAAGTGCAAGGTCATGAGTTCAGTTCCCAGTACAAAAAAAAAGAAAGAAGCTGGGCATGGTGACACACGCCTGTAATCCCAGCACTTGAGAGGCAGAGGCAGGAGGATCATTGCGAGTTCAAGACCAGCCTGGGCTACAAAGTGAGCTCAAGGCCAGCCTGAACTGCATAGCGAGACCCTGTCAAAAAAAAACAACAACAACAAAAAAAACAAAAAAAAAAAAAAAGAGAGAGAGATTAGAGAAAGAAAACATAGGAAGGGTATGGGGTCCTCTGTGCAGCTTTCCCAAAGGTTTGAAATTTTAAATTAAACTTCGTAGGGGTTGGAGGGATAAAAGTAAAAATCTCCTTAGTCCTTATTGCAGTAACATTCTTGTTGCTGAAGTTCGGAAACTTGTAATAACTATCAGTTCCCACAAGCACCAATGTAAGGGTTGCAGTTGTAACAAGAGGCTGACACTGTAAATGAATTTGGTATTAATTAGGCTATAACTATAAACTCATTAAACTGATAAGACACAGAATGTCGTCTGATGAAATCAGGAATTTGTATGAAACTGCCACATCGCCCACTATTCATTTTATTTTATATTTACCAGACAGGATGTCACTGTAGCGTACAGGCTGCCCTCAAACTCCTGATCTTTCTGCCTTGTCTCGAATGTGCTGGATTCAGCACACTGGCCTAGCCCACTCTTCCAGACCAGTTTTTTTTGTTTGTTTGTTTTTCTCCGGTACCGGGAACCGAACTCACGACCTTGCGCTTGCCAGGCAGGCGCTTTGCCGCTGAGCTAAATCCCCAGCCCCTTAGACCAGTTTTAAGAGACTAAAATCTGTGCAGCTGGGCACAGGAGCAGGCACATTCGCTGCTCTGTTACCCTACAGCTGAGCCAATGCCTGACATTTTTTCTTTTTTGAGACATGGTCTCACTACGTCGTAGTTCAGGCTGGCCTTAAACTCACTGTGTAGCCCAGGCTGGCCTCGAACCCTCAGCAATCCTCTCCCTAAGCTTCAGCCTTCTGAGTACTGGGATTACAGGCCTGTGCCACCTCACCTGGCCAATGCCTGACTTTATAACTGCCCTCTACAGCCTGTGATTGGCATGCCTGAGGGGAAAGCCATGCAATGTGTCCACTACGGAAGTCAAAGCCATCGCAATACATTCTCGGGGCCTTTCCCATTGCTCCAGGCATGCTAGAATTTTGTGGCATGAAATATTTCTTGAAATAGCTCATAACTATGAACTGCTGATATTTATCACCTAATTACCAAGGTCCCCACTAGATCTCAGGAATCTCCATTTCCCCAGCCCGGCCGAGGTCATGGGGTGAGGCCTCCAGTCTCTCCTGCGCCATGTTGACAACATCAGGTGGCCAGTGCTCAGCTACAGAGGGTTGGGGCAGAGAGGACTATGGGAAAAGATGCTTTGAGCACCCTAAGTTCAGCGCCATGGTAACAAATTCCTCTCCAGGAGATGGTTGTGCCTACTTATTTTTCTACCGAAGATACTATCTCCATTGCTCATTTCCATGTCGCCTTCCCCCAGGTATTTTCTAAGACCCTGGGGACCGGGTGGGTGACCCAGCTGAGGTTAGAGTAGGACAGGGCAGGATGGGCGGTGCTCTCCAAACAATTCTCCGAGTGCGCACTGCGCTCGGGCCCTGGATCCCCCGGGGACCTCGAGGACAATTCTGACGCCACTCAGGGCCCTGCTGGCGCTTTCCAGCGCGACCAGGGCGGGCTGGGTGTGGTCGGCCCCGGGGCCTCGGTGACGGCGGGATGCAGCCTCAGTGTCCCCAGTCTGCGGGCAGGAAGGGAGGCAGAGACGAGAGGAGGGAAAGAGAGACGCAGGGAGAGGAGAGGGGCGAGGAAAGTGGCTGAGAGCCCGCCGTCCGCCCGCCTGCTGCGCCCCTCCCCGACGGGCCGGCGCTTCCCCAGCGCCGCCGCCAGCCGCAGACCGGACTGCGGCACCCGGCTGGGCTGTGGACAACCGTAGTGGTTGTCGTGGTCGCGGGGGCGCAGTCCTGGTCTCGGTCACACCAAGGGCCGTGGGCACCGGGCCGGGGCCCAGAGAGCCCTCATATCCCGCGGGCTGGATGCAGACAGGATTGGGGCTGGCCTGAAACTGGGCGCCCGGGGCCACTGCCGCGACTGAGCACCTGGTGGCGAGGTGCGGTTACACCTGGATCGGTCAGCTTGGCCTCGCTGGGGCCACATCCCTGACTCGCAGCTCATGGGGAAAAGTTTGGTTTCGACTCACATTTCAGTCCAAGGTCCGCGGGCTCCCAGGCAGGAACTACACGGGGAGTGGAGCTGCTGAACTCCTGATAACCAGGAAGCAGCCAGCAGGAAGAGTCCGAGGAGACACCCCTTCCCAGGCCACCCCCAGTGACCTACTTCCTCCCTCGGCCCCACCTCCAGCAGCGCAGTCAGCTGCGAGGGCAGTGCCCCAGGACCGCACCACCTTCCAGGACGCCAGCTCTGACCACACAGCCCTTGGGATGGTTTTGACTCCAACCTAACTCGACCCTTCTTCCCAAGGCGGCACCCGAGGGAGCCAGGGGACGAGTGTCCGGCCTAGTGTGCAGTAACTAAATGGCAGAGCTGGGGTGGGAACCCAGGGCGTTTCTCTGCCCGCCCTGCCCTAGGTGAGGGAAGTGTGTACTGGAACCAGGCTTAGAAATCTGGGTAGAAGCTGATGGCTGGAGGTCCCTGACCACCTTTGGCTCTAGCTAGCTTCTAGGACCTGGAGAAGACTCACAATCCACCCCTAGTCAGTTTTCCAGCCAAACATCCCAAATAAAGACAATAGCAAGTTCATAATTGTGCCTATCATTGTGCAACGAGCCCACGCACCAGTGGAAATGCCCTAACTCCCTGTCCAGAGCAAGCGGCAATGTTTTTCTGTGTGTGATACCCTTCAGACACTCCATAACTTATATATTATAATGTAGATTTTTTTTTGTACTGGCGATTGAATTTAGGACCTCATGCTTGCCCGGCAGGCACTGCACCTCTGAGCTAAATCCCTGACCCTATAATGTAGATTTAACAACACTTAAGTGTGACATTGAGGCAAGTGATAGTTTGTTACATGGTGTAGAAATACAAAAAAGGATATCTGCTTCGTATTTCTGTTTGTATGCCCAAATATATTAACAATATAGGAAAGAATTACCTATGACAATTACGATTGTCTTTGTAACTTGGTTATATGAACCACCATCTTCTCCTATGCCTTTTGAATAGCCTAACCCTTCAGCAAGGACCTCTGTAGGTGTTGGGGTTTTTTTGGTTTTTTTTTTGAGACAGGGTTTCACTATGCAGTTCAGGCAGGCCTTGAACTCACTTTGTAGCCCAGGTTGACCGCATGGCAATCCTCCTGCCTCAGCCTCCCAGGTACTGGGATTACAGACGTGCACCACTACACCTGGCTGGGTGTTGATTCTTTTTTTTTTTGGCTTTTTCCGGTACCGGGAATCGAACTCACGACCTCATGCTTGCCAGGCAGGCGCTATGCCGCTGAGCTAAATCCCCAGCTCCTGGGTGTTGGTTCTTTATGTGGTAGTGTGACCACAACTCCATTCCTGAAGGGTCTGGGCTATTTGTCAACTTGCCTGGGTTGGGTTGTTCTAGTTTCGGTCAAGCTTCATACTTCATACTAGGGCACGGTGATGTGAGGAGATGTTCTAAAGGACTCCACTGTGAGGAGCAACCCGATTTCCCCCCGGTAGTCTGGATCAATCACCCCTGCCCACACCATCACTCCTTTTGTAGCCTGTTTGCTCAGAGGCATAAGGAGTCCAGAACGGGTGGGGGGGGCAGTCCTAGCTTCTGGTTCAGTGGAATCATTGCTGTGCCTCCTGGTAGAAGCATCGCCCCCCCACACCCCGAACTAAGACGTCTTGGTCCCAGGAACAGTAACAAATATTTTGTTATTGAGTCACTAGGGGTAATGGGGAGTGATACCATTCTCACGTTCACCCTTTGATTCCTGAATCTGTGTGTCCTGGCTGTGGGAGAATTGGTACCATTTATCGGGTCAGTTTGATCATCTACGGCCTTCTGAAGATCTCTGCCCATCCCTACAAGGTGTTGCCACCTAGCTGTCACCATAACTGCGGCTGCAAGGGGCAGTCACACCAATCCATCAGTGCAGGTGTGATTACAGGCATATACTACCAGCTCAGACTGGCCTTGAGCTCACTTTGTAGCCCAGGCTTGTCTCAAACTCTCAACGATCCTCCTGCCTCAGCTTCCCGAGTGCTGGGATTACAGGTGTGTGACACCACACCCAGCCACCCTGCTATTTTTATATTTTGGAGACCGGGTCTTGATGTGTGGCCCAGGCTGGCCCTGAACACGTGGGCTCAAGTGATCTTCCTGCCTTAGGTTTCTGAGTAGTTGGGACTTCAAGTGTGTGCCACTGTGCCTGGCTCAGAATATTTTTTTAAAAAATCCTCATGGTAAGTCGCCCTGCGTTTTGCTCACTTTGAATTCAGTTAGCCAGCATTTAAAAAAGAAATAGCTCACTGTCTCAGACAAAACAGAGAGCTGAGCATTTGTAAAGCCATGGCAGTGCTGCAGGCTCCTTCCAAAATAGGATGTGTCTTTTTTCTTTTTTTGTCTTTTTGAGACAGGGTCTCGCTATGCAGTTCAGACTGGCCTTGTGCTCACTTTGTAACCCAGGCTGGTCTCGAACTCACAATGATCCTCCTACCTCAGCCTCCCGAGTGCTGGGATTACAGGCGTGTGCCATCACACCCAGCCCCAAAATAGGATGTGATGCTCAGGGGTCTCCAAGAGCAGCCAATCTCTTAATACAATCTTGACAGCGCAAAAAGGGGTGCAAAACTACAATATAGGCCTTATGTATATTCTTCCACATGACAGTTAAACCTGAAATTGTCACTGGTGTCCTGGGATAAATGCATACAACCTTGATTAACTGTTTCCTTTAACACCAGGAAGAAGACAGGGATGTCATCTACTCTTACCTGTGTCAGTCTACCTACTACTGGCAGTTACTGCCAGTACAATAAGGTGAGACAAAGAAATTAAAAGCATAGAGATTGGAAAAGAAGACCTTTTCTCTCCCTCCCTCCCTCTCTCTCTCTCCGTCTTTATTTTATTTATTTATTTATTTTTTTATTTATTTATTTATTTTTTGTTACCAGGAATCAAACTCTGGGCCTTGCACTTGTCAGGCAGGCGCTGTGCCACTGAGCTACATCCCTGGCAAAAAAGAAGACTATATAGGGAGACCCTGTCTCAAAAAAAAAAAAAAGAAACAACAAAGAGCCCCCCAAACAAGGGCTGGGGATTGAGCTCAGCAGCACGGCGCCTGCCTGGCAAGTGCAAGGTCATGAGTTCGATTCCCAGTACTGGAAAAAACAAAACAAAACAAAAAACAAACAAACAAACAAACAAAAATAATAATCAAAAAGTCCCCCAAACAAATAAAATTACAAGAACAGAAGAAGGGGAGTATGTAAGAACTACTCAACTATAAAATTTCATACAAAAATGAGCGCAAAATGGATCACATTTAAATATATAAAATATATAGCTCTTAAAACTTTTAGATGATGGCATAAGATAAAATGTTCTGAACTTGGGGCTTGGTTCAGAGTTCTTGGAAATAATATAAAAAGATGAATTCATAAAAGAAATTACAATATAATATTGGATCTGATCAAATTTAAAACTCTTACCTTACAAAATGTCATATTAAAGGTATGAAATTAGGACGTGGTGGTACCCACCTGTAATCCCAGCACTCAGGAGGCTGAGGCAGGAGGATCATTGAGAGTTTGAGACCAGCCTGGGCCACAAAGTGAGCTCAAGATCAGCCTGAACTGCATAGTGAGACCCTGTCTCAAAAAGACAAATAAATAAATACAAAATAATAATAAATGAAATTATAAACCATTGGCTAAAATAACTGATTGAGGTAACATGCAGCTATAATCGTAGGTACAGGGAGGCTAAGGCAGAAGGATCATCTATTTGAGGCTAGCCTAGGCAGTTTAGGGAGGCCCTAAATTCAAAAATTCAAAAATAAATAAAAGGTCTGGAGATGTGGCTCAGATGTGGCTCAATCCCCAGTACCAAAAGTCAGACAAAACCTGGAAGAAAATATTAGCAGACCTCCTAAGTTCAAAGACTGACGTCTAGAATAAATTAGCTTCATTTTCCAATTGTTATTTGCTTATACAGAAATGAAAAAGTGAAAAAATGCCAGGCTTTCTAAATATCCTTTAATCCTGCAACCTTGATAAATGCACTTACTAGTTCTTGCATTTGCTTTGTTTTTCAGAGAGTTTTTGGGATGTTTTATTTACACAGTTATTATTATTTATTTATTTATTTATTTATTTTTTTGAGACAAGGTCTTGCTATGCAGTTCAGGCTGGACTTGAGCTCACTATGTAGCCCAGGCTGGTCTCGAACTCACAATGATCCTCCTGCCTCAGCCTCCCGAGTGCTGGGATTACAGGCGTGCGCCACCACCATTTGCATCTGTCTTCTTAAGGGCTATGGGCCTTTACTTTTCTTGTCATTTCAAATTTCGGAATCTGGGTAATGTTGATTGTAATGAGTAGAGAAATTTTCATCTATTTCCCAAAATTATTTTCATGTAATTGACACTGTATCTTCCCTATTTTGAAAAAATCTTCAGTGTAATAATCTGGGCCTGCAGTTTTCTTTGTGAGGAGCTTGTAGTTATGAATTCTAATTCTCGAGTAACATTCAGGTGTTCTATTTTTATGTTTAGGAACATTCAGGTGTTCTATTTTTATGGTATCACTTTTGGTAATTTGTGTCAAGGAATGTTTTCATTTTTTGGAGCGTGAAGAAGATTGGCACGCACATTTAGGACTGTAACATCTTTTTGATGAACTGACATCTTTATCATGAGGAAATATCCCTTCTCCCTTATGGTGGGGCTTGTTTTGAAGTCTACTTTTTTTTTTTTGTCTTTTTGAGACAAGGTTTCACTATGTAGTTCAGGCTGGTCTCAAACTCACAGCAATTATCCTGCCTCAGCCTCCCAAATGCTGCGATTAGAGGAGTGCCCCTCCACTCCTGGCCTTGAAGTCTACTTTTTCTGATATTAATATTGCTCCTTCAGTTTTCTTTGAACATCGGCATGTTTCTGTACACTTAAAGTGGATTTTGTAAAGAATGCACATAGTTGGGCCTTCTTTTTTTTTTAACATTTTTTTTTTTGTACCCGGAGTTGAACTCACAACCTTGCACTTGCCAGGCACTTGTGCCGCTGAGCTATATCCCTGGCCCTTTAACTTTTTTTATTTTAAAAATTAAAAAACTAGCC